TAGCTATTTGTGTGTGTTTTAACAGGAGTATTGAAAATTTGAATCGAATGTTTTTGGTGATAATCGAGAAGGAAAGCATGTATCCCAATGTGAGCAGCAGCGAGTCCCTGTCCACCCCCGTGCAGCTCTGCTATGAGAACATGAACGGATCCTGTGTCAAGTCTCCCTACTCCCCTGGACCCCGCGTGCTTCTGTACGTGGTCTTTGGCTGTGGGGCTGTGCTCGCTGTGTTTGGAAACCTCTTGGTGATGATTTCAATCCTGCATTTCAAGCAGCTGTACTCTCCAACCAATTTCCTCATCGCCTCCCTGGCCTGTGCTGACTTTTTAGTGGGTGTGACCGTGATGCCCTTCAGCATGGTCAGGTCCGTGGAGAGCTGCTGGTACTTTGGGGCTGGTTTTTGTACTTTCCACACGTGCTGTGATACGGCGTTTTGCTACTCTTCTCTCTTCCACTTGTGCTTCATCTCCATCGACAGGTACATCGCTGTCACTGACCCTCTGGTCTACCCGACCAAGTTCACTGTGTCTGTGTCCCGAATGTGCATCGGCATCTCCTGGATCCTGCCTGTTGTGTACAGCGGTGCCCTGTTCTACACAGGAGCCAATGATGATGGACTGGAAGAATTATCTCGTGCCCTCAACTGTATAGGTGGTTGTCAGGCTGTTGTAAATCAAAACTGGGTGGTGATAGATTTTTTATCCTTCTTTATACCAACCCTTGTTATGATCATTCTCTATAGTCATATTTTCATTGTGGCTAGAAAACAGGCTCAAAAGATTGAAACGACTAGTAGCAAAACAGAGTCATCATCGGAAAGTTACAAAGGCAGAGTGGCCAGGAGAGAGAGAAAAGCAGCTAAGACCCTGGGGATCACAGTGGTGGCCTTTATGATTTCATGGTTACCATACAGCATTGATTCATTAATTGATGCTTACATGGGCTTCATCACCCCTGCCTATATTTATGAGATTTGCTGCTGGTGTGCTTATTATAACTCAGCCATGAACCCTTTGATTTATGCTCTCTTTTACCCATGGTTTAGGAAAGCCATACAATTAGTTGTCAGTGGCCAAGTTTTAAAGGATGGTTCAGCAACCAGGAATTTGTTTTCT